GGGGGGGGGGGGGGGGGGGGGGGGGGGGGGGGGGGGGGGGGGGGGGGGGGGGGGGGGGAAGGGCCCCCCCCTCTCTTCCTCCTCCTTCTCCTCCTCCTCCTCACCCTCCGCCTGAGAGAGATTCGCGGCGTGAGGAGAGCCGAGGGTGCGTGAGGAGGGGGACGCGGGCCGGGGGTGGGCGCAGCCCCCTCGGCGCTCCGAGTTGCAGCCGCGCGGCTCCGCCGCTCCTGACGGCGCGGGGCGGGCAGGAAGGTGCCCCCCGCTTCCCGGGAGCTCGCTGCTGCTTCTTCGGCTTTTTATTCTGTTTTGTGTTTGATTTCCCCCCACCCCCCCCAGTCCTTCTCTCCCCACCCCCCCCCCACCCTTCTCCGCTCCCGGGCGTGGGGAGGACGAACTCGCGGCGGCGGAGTCCCCTCAGGCTGGGTGGGTGCTGGCTCCTTCGTTTATTTCTTTATTCTTCTTGGGTTTTTTTTTCGGCTTGTTTTGGTGTTGTTGGCTGCCGACTTCGAGCTGGGGCCGCCTGAGGGGCTGCGAACCCCGAGCGGGGCTGGGGGGCCCTTTCCTTCATCTCGCTTTTCCCCCCTCTTCTCTCTCTCAGCCCTTTTCCCCCTCTTTCCTTTCCGGGATCCGACCCCTGACGGACCGATCACCCATTTCTGGGGGAAGCCCGCTGCTTTCCTATGGATATATGGGGGGGGGGAAAGAGCATGCCGCTGCCGGGGCTTTGCGGGAGGGCTTCGGGAAGGGCGAAGGCGTCGACCCGAATGGATTCGTTTGTGCGGGATGGGGAAAAGGACCCGGCGAGAAATCGTTCTTCAAAACGTGTGCGGAGGGTTTGGGCGGGGTGTCAGCCGCTTGTTTATTCCCTACTTCTCGGGGAGAGCAGCTGCGGTGCTGCGTTGTGGGTGCCCGGCTTCGTTGGGGGCTGAGCAGCGCCCTGAGCCCAGCGTGGTCGAGGAATGGACACGGGATGCTGCCCACACAACCTGCCCCGCTCCGAGGCTGAGCCAACCCGACTTCTCTACTGTTCTGCTCGGTTTTTTTCGGCTCAGATCACAAATACGAGGCAGGTTGGGCTGAGTTCTTCCACCTCTGGTGGGTTTTTCGGTTGTTTGGTGGAGTACTTCTTTGGAATGTTTATTTATTTGTTCCCCTTTCTTTTCAGTGGGTCTGAAAAAAGCTGCGGATGTATGGTGTTGTTCCATTCCCCTCGTGCAGGGGACAAAATGCTTTTTTGGGGACGGGGAGGGAAGGAGGAAGAGGAAAATAAAGGCTGTAAGCACACCGTCTGCAGAGCCGGGTGTATCTTAATTTCTTCTTGTGCTCATTGGGACTACAGATAAGTGGCTTTAAGTACAGAACGCACGTGAGCTGAAGCTGGGAAGGTTTCAACTTTGCAGGGAGGAAAGTGTTAACCTGATGGCCAGGGCTTGGCAACGTGGGAGCCGATCTGATAGACACCGGCTGTGTGCCCCCCCTGATCCAACTATATAGGGATGGAGGGGAAGGAAACTGGGGGAAAAACTACAATTTGCCAGTAAGACAGCCTGTAAAAGACATTGCATTGGAGAAAGGAAAACTGGTGGAGAAAGGCTTGGTGCTGTGCAGACGGTCTGTGGGCGCCCAGAGCCCTGAAGTGCCTGCTTGCATCCCGTGCAGCTCCTTGCTGCAGGGCTCATCAGGTACACTGCTTTCTTCCTGGGATGGTGCGGCTGGTATTTGATTTCCTCCATGGATGGGAGAGGAGGAGTCCTGTGCAGTTCTTTTCCCCGAGATGATTGCATTTGCTTTGGCCTTGCTGTACCCTACCTCATTAGTAGGAACTGCATCTATATTTATTTACCATTACATCGGGTCCCTCGGGATGTCGGGTGTAGTTTGGAGTAGGTATATATGGATTTATCACTCTCAACATTTTTTTTTTTCCTCTTGTCATGCTACAGCCAAATCGTTCAACAGTGGGGAACAGACTTAATTTATTTCTGTGTTTTGCATCTTCCTTTTTGCCATTTCTCTTCCAAATTGCTTAGAAAACATTTCTGAGGCGCAGGGGGGGGGAGGGAAGTAGGAGAGAAGTGAGAAACGAATGGGATATAGCAGGGTAGGGATGTGTTTGTTAGCTGCATATTCTGAGACCTCTGTGAAAGAGCCGTGCTTGATGCTGTATCAGCTAACAGGGCTTTGGAATGCTTTCTTCCCTTCTGTGAAGATTATTCTTTAGCCCTATGACAGCCACAACTTTTCTGTATGGTTGACGGGATTGTCTGACGAGCCTGGGCGTGAGATGAGGAACAAGGAACTTGTGTCTCTTTCAGCTCTGCCTCTTCTTCCTCCTATCGTTCCTTCAGCACAGCTCAGGCACCCGAACAGGCATCAGCATTTTTACTCCTGTGTCATCCAACTCTGTTCAGAGCAGGTCTAGACGACATTGTGGTATGCAGACTGCCAGCTGTGTTACAGGAATGCTACCAGAGGTGAAATTGCAGGGTATTTAAAGAATGGTAAGGAAATCTTCAAGGAAATACTGTGTGGATGAGGCCTGTTTCTCTCTACAACTACTTTATTAAGCGGTCTTGAGCAATTCTTTTATGTTTTGTTGACCTTTCTAGAAAACATGCATCCCTCCAGTACTGCGATACGGTGATTCCACAGAATTAGGAGCCAGTGTGCTGCAGAAAGCTTACTGCTACTTCTGAGCCAGTTTCTGTGTGAGCCTTATGGGTCTCTTTCAAAGCCATATTAGAAGTTCACAGCTGTCCAGTGTTTGGAAATTGAATTTATTATGAAGCGTTTACTTTATAGTGATGATCTGTGGTTCATGGAAGCGTTTGATGTGTGTTCTCCTTGGTGTCTGGAGCTGGGAAAATGGGGGCTTCTGCCATTTGTTTTTATCACGGTTTTTAATAAAATTAATTTCCATTGAGCATGAATTTCTGGATGTTTTCTGTCATTAACTTTTGGGACTGCACTTGGTTGAACGTCAGTGAGGCAGAGATGGGATTTGGGCTTTTAGGATACGGTGTTTGGGAGAGGAATTGGAAGAATGAATGAAACAGAAGCACGAGCAATAAAAAACCCGGTGCTGTCCGCTTCGTAAAGGCATCTCTGAAGATGTTTGGTTGTATGCAGTAGGACGTGAACAGATCTCCATCAAACAAACTGTGCGTTTGAATCTGAAAAAAGCAACTTGTGTTTTACTGTGATTTCTGTGCGGAGCTTTTAAGGGCGCTACAGAAACACACATTACAGCACTGGGATCTGTGGCGAGCAGTTCTCATCTCATGCAAAGTTTAGGATTTGGAATGGAGCTCTTGAATGGGTGCTGCCAACTTGAGATTCCTGCTGCAGAGGAGCGTGTCTTCCTTTCTCCCCTTCCTTTATGCAGCTTTGACACTTCTAAAGTCGCTGAAGTCGATTTCACTTGATGCTGATTTTAATGGAGCAGGCGTTGGATCTGCATGTGAGCCCTCATGGGATTGCCCCTTTAATTATACCTATGCTGATAATATTATCTTGCGTATTATCAATGGAGTGAGACCAATGGCAGGATTATAGTGGGATTTTTAGGAGGTAATGAGGAGAAATGGAATTTTTTTTTGGTCAACTTCCATCCCGAGAGCCGTTTTTACATATTAGATTATTAATAAACTGTGTTTTAGCATTCTAGCTTTCCTCTATTGACTAAAACTCCTTTCTAACATGTACAGAGATTAGGGCAGCTGGGCAGCCAAGTATACTAAGAGTTCACATTTGAGCACTCAGTCATGCAGACTGATTGTATGTTAGCTATGAATGCCGTTTCCAGTGTTGATGCTAAAGATGAGTGTTTGGACAAGTGCTTATAAATTGGGGAACAAAGCAAGCAGGAATAACAAGGTATGAAAAGAAAGTGTTATTTTTGGTTTTGCAGGTGACAAACCAGGGTGTAGAGGGATTAAGATGCTCAGGTTCCTGCATGGACTCTGTGGCAGTAATCAGTCCTTGATCTCCAGTTTGTCAGGGTTTTAATTGCAGTGTTTCTTCCTCCCCTTGTTAATTGGCTTACTTCCACATTTTAAAAATAACGTCTAGAGATTATTTTCCTTTCTTCCAGTTTCAAACAGTATAGCCTGAAGTTTTTTTTCTTTTTCAGTTGAGCCTTGCAAGGAAAGGGTTGGAAAGCTTCGTCTAAACAGCACCTCCCTGACATCTGATACTATCTTGGAGCAGCCTCTGACAAGTGAACCCTCTCATTGAAATCATGTGAGGAATTTTGTTACTCAACACTGAAGATCTTCTGGGGGAAAGGAGGTTGCAAACTATTAACTATGTGGTCTTCTTTGCAAGCTGGCACAAAAAATGTTCTTATGCATTGAGGCGGTCATGTGGTCCGCAGAGAGGAGCAGAGAATGGGCTCTGTAGT